TGCATTTGTTGTAGTACATAATCCAGAGATGCAAACCTCTGGAATTCTAAAATCTGGAGACTCTTTCTTTTGCAGTACCCCCTCTCCCTTCGAATGTCAACGATTAACCCCCCAGCCTATAAGCAAAATTCGATCCAGTCACCGATCGGCTTCAGGGGACATTATATGAAGTGTTACAAGAGGTACAGACCATCACAAGTAGCTTTTATGACTGTAATGGCGAAATAATCTTAGTCAGTGATGAAAGACGACCGAAAATGCCCCAGAAACCCACCTTTGAATCAAAGAAAATTCGAATTTTGGTTTATAACTCGATTTTATCCGGGAGATTTGGTGACCCATACAAGAGACCGGGAGATTTGTGGTCGTATACGGGAGAGTTGGCAAGTATGGAAATCACACTTTGACAACTTAATTGTTTTTAATAGTTAGGTGCAAACAAAATGACTTACTCTAAAATAGAAATTACATGTAGCTATGTCATTAAGAATGCAGTTGAGGAGAATTGTGAAAGTGATCATGGCTCGTGATTACCCCCGGTATTGAATATGTGGTACCCTCATTAGCACAGAAATATCCCCGAAAGAGTGCCAAATTATTCATGAAAGTGTTCACAGTTATTTGTGTATATGTACATGCATGAGAAACAAATACCTATGCAAGAGTGAATTTGTTTGAAATGTTAACATACAGAATATAGACACGAAAGGGTACGGTAAGCCGTGAGTCCTCTTAGGACGTCCACGAGGTTGGGCGCGGCAGATCAGCTGTTTTTTGAAATTGAAAGAGCTTGAAAGGGCCGAAAATTTGGATCGATTTAGGTTTCTGGGAAACTGCCTACCTACCCCTCCCCTAAGCTAACATTAACACTTCTCACTTAGGGCAAAATGATGGCTTAGGGGAGGGGTAGGTGGACAGTTTCCCAGCAACCGAAATTGATGCAAAAAATTGTAACGGTTTCCAAACTGTTTCCTAAACTAAAAGCATATCAAGATCAGCAAAAAACTAGACGCTATTTGAAGAATATCTGCAAGACTAAACAGCTTTCTTTATTCTTGAATTTGCCGAAGACGGGAAGTTGACGTCAATCGAGGTAAGCATATTTTTAAAGTATGAAATATTTTCAATGAATAATAAAAGAATTATTGGACTCGGATTTCAGCTTTACCCAAAACTAGTTAATAATAAAAGAAAATTATTTTAACGGCCTCTGAACCTATCAGTACACCAACCCCATAAGGAGCCACGGCAGCGAACCAGGGCTAAATAACACGAGACCATGCATTCGTTAAACATGCCACAGCAAAGGAAGAGGTGCACGCAGAAGCAGCAGCAACAGGTGAGCATACATTTCTGGCATCTGCACTTTTTATTGAACTCTTTAATGGATCTTTCACTGTAGTCCTCCAAAACACCACGAACACGCACCACGCAGCACTCCCGCAGGGGATCCTGGAGTCCCAGCTGGTCATACGAAAACTATATAATGCACATATATATATGAGCCAAAGACTTGTTTCCCTCCCGTTTGGGAGGTTGTTATTTGTTGTACGAGGCCGAGCCTCGTTTCGGTGAAAAAGTCATTTAGCCTCAGAATAAGTAGAATGAGTCAATACATCCAAGTGTTATAGAGCGCATTGAATTTTGGTATTATTTTCACGCCGCTGTACTTGTGAATTCGCTTTTATTTCATTCCGAAAGTCTCCTTAAGGACCCTCTGACCTTCCAAAGATCCGTAAGAGACATTCTGAGAGGTCAATTTTCAAGATAAATAGTCTGGAGCCAATTTTTGCAATGCAGAAAAACGTCAATTTCTATTTGACTTGTACATACACATACACTCATATACACAGAAGATATTCCCCCAAAATTGTTTGGGTACGATTATGTCACATGCGAGAGGAAAAGAACGCAAGCACATATAGATATAGATACGAGGCTACAATTTGCCATACCCATTGGGATTTAAAGGATTTGAGCAGAAAACTTAAACCTCTGTTTTTGATCGGTGGAACCTCAATGTAACTAATCTCTACATAACGATGTCCTCGGTATAACAAACGATTTTCTTCAACCCAGTAATAGTAAAATATATGAAAAAGAACCTGATATAACGAAACCTCGATACAGCGAACAAATTTTGCCAGTCCCTCGGCCCTTCGTTATATGTAGGTTCCACGTTGCTCCTCTTAAGTGCTTTTAAAACGACAACAAATTCCTTGAGCCTAAATGACTTCAAGCGATGGTTTTTCCTTACAATTTCGCTCCAAGAAAAGAATTCCGGATTCCGTAATTCGTAAATTTTTTTACTTGAGGAATTTGGAATCCAGGATTGTTTGCTTGCGCAATCCAGAATCCTGGACTTTGAAAATTGAAATTCTGAATTCAGCTCAAGAATCCGGAAACCCACTACAGATTGGAATCCGGAATCCACGTTCCAGTGACAAAGAATCCGGAATCCAGTACCTTGAATCCAGAATCCACGGTGTGGAATCCAGAATCCAAGACTTTCTTGGATTCCCTTTCATCGGACGAAAGATTTTTGTAGCTTGTCTCCTCCCGTTTCATCTTAAATTTCAGATTTGACCAATTCCCATAAAATAGGTACACTCGTCTGGATCCGCGCTTGGTGGTTGTGGAATGGAATCAAATTATCTTTCAAGAGCTCAGAATTAGAATATTTTTGCATTGATTATTTCCTTGCCGTTGCACCTTTCGTTCAATTTAGCTACGTCATGCCCGACGTTGACGAGCCCTGAAAAAGCTGAAAAATGAACTGGCAGTTTCTGGTTTCTAAACCATGCACGGTTTGGCCGTACACTGGTACAATAACGTTATTATCTCTCCCGAAAGGGCTATTCGGAGATCATTTACAAAAAAGACAGGATCAGAAAGAAAAAAAAATTACTATAATTACAACCATAAATTTGTGTATCGTAGAAACTCGCGAAGCTCGGGGGGAGGTCCATTAAATGTCAGAGATGGAAGGGGGGAGAGAATTGGAGTAGATTGTGTAGCTTGGGAGGGCGGGTAGCAACACTGGCTCTAATATTGGAATGTGATATGTAGTTAATCTCCTTTTGGTTGGAGTAAATTTGAACCCAGTGCGCTGTTGGATTTTCTGGGATTAAGTTGGGGTTGGTGTTGTTAAGGAAGGATGGCCAATGTCTAATAGGTCCTCTGTTCACCCCAATTGACGCTCCTATATGTGTAACTATAGTAAAAAAAAAAACGTGGGTGTGATAGTGAATAACTGCAGGTCAATATGCAGCTAACCCATGCCATCTTAATAAGTGTAATAAAAACTACTTGTAAATTGTGTCATTATTAGTGAGTGGTTGAAATGGCAGGAGGTAACGCTGCAGTGAAAAGAACAGGTAAATGCTGGTAATCTGCGAAAAATATTTATTGTTAAGTGAACTACAGCAATGATCAAGATTATTTGCATTTGTTGTAGTACATAATCCAGAGATGCAAACCTCTGGAATTCTAAAATCTGGAGACTCTTTCTTTTGCAGTACCCCCTCTCCCTTCGAATGTCAACGATTAACCCCCCAGCCTATAAGCAAAATTCGATCCAGTCACCGATCGGCTTCAGGGGACATTATATGAAGTGTTACAAGAGGTACAGACCATCACAAGTAGCTTTTATGACTGTAATGGCGAAATAATCTTAGTCAGTGATGAAAGACGACCGAAAATGCCCCAGAAACCCACCTTTGAATCAAAGAAAATTCGAATTTTGGTTTATAACTCGATTTTATCCGGGAGATTTGGTGACCCATACAAGAGACCGGGAGATTTGTGGTCGTATACGGGAGAGTTGGCAAGTATGGAAATCACACTTTGACAACTTAATTGTTTTTAATAGTTAGGTGCAAACAAAATGACTTACTCTAAAATAGAAATTACATGTAGCTATGTCATTAAGAATGCAGTTGAGGAGAATTGTGAAAGTGATCATGGCTCGTGATTACCCCCGGTATTGAATATGTGGTACCCTCATTAGCACAGAAATATCCCCGAAAGAGTGCCAAATTATTCATGAAAGTGTTCACAGTTATTTGTGTATATGTACATGCATGAGAAACAAATACCTATGCAAGAGTGAATTTGTTTGAAATGTTAACATACAGAATATAGACACGAAAGGGTACGGTAAGCCGTGAGTCCTCTTAGGACGTCCACGAGGTTGGGCGCGGCAGATCAGCTGTTTTTTGAAATTGAAAGAGCTTGAAAGGGTCGAAAATTTGGATCGATTTAGGTTTCTGGGAAACTGCCTACCTACCCCTCCCCTAAGCTAACATTAACACTTCTCACTTAGGGCAAAATGATGGCTTAGGGGAGGGGTAGGTGGACAGTTTCCCAGCAACCGAAATTGATGCAAAAAATTGTAACGGTTTCCAAACTGTTTCCTAAACTAAAAGCATATCAAGATCAGCAAAAAACTAGACGCTATTTGAAGAATATCTGCAAGACTAAACAGCTTTCTTTATTCTTGAATTTGCCGAAGACGGGAAGTTGACGTCAATCGAGGTAAGCATATTTTTAAAGTATGAAATATTTTCAATGAATAATAAAAGAATTATTGGACTCGGATTTCAGCTTTACCCAAAACTAGTTAATAATAAAAGAAAATTATTTTAACGGCCTCTGAACCTATCAGTACACCAACCCCATAAGGAGCCACGGCAGCGAACCAGGGCTAAATAACACGAGACCATGCATTCGTTAAACATGCCACAGCAAAGGAAGAGGTGCACGCAGAAGCAGCAGCAACAGGTGAGCATACATTTCTGGCATCTGCACTTTTTATTGAACTCTTTAATGGATCTTTCACTGTAGTCCTCCAAAACACCACGAACACGCACCACGCAGCACTCCCGCAGGGGATCCTGGAGTCCCAGCTGGTCATACGAAAACTGAACTGCGGGATCCTCACCAGTACGGAAGAACTTCACTGTGCAGACAGCATAGGGCTTCAGGTCTCCCATCACGATCGACACCTGTCTCTCTGAAGGTCGCCACCCACTTTTACGCTGTAGGACGTCCTTGGTGTTGTACGAAATCTCTCCATAACGTACTTTTGTTTCCAGAAAAACGGTTTCTACCTCGACACCAGCTGATCTCCCACTAATAACCGAACTTATCGCTACAATATAAAAAACACGTACACTTAAGGATTTATCTTTTAATCACTAAATTATCAGGACTTGCTGGGCAAGTAACATTAAAAGCGTCCTTGTCCAATAAGGAGGGGTCCAGGCAAGTCATCCCGTGACAAAATCAATAACTCAGAGGAGCAAGAAGTAGCCCTGGGCAGCAAAGTGTGAAATCAGCTTGCCGAACTACTAGCTTGAATTAAAGTTTTTTTCGAGCCCTGATTTTGTCGTTCCATTTATGAATAATCTGCTGATGAAACAGCGCAACTGATAGCCTGCTTACGCTGATCATCGATAACTGCGATTGTCCCAGTCATTGACGTCATTCTCTCACGGGGACCGGCCCTTCCGCTTTGTGCAGATAGATTAAAATTACTGAGCATCTTTTATTTTTCAAGCTTCAGTCCATTTATTAAGGGCGATTTTGAATAGCCTTGTTGGTTTTCATACTACAAATAAACTTAATATGTTTTTTATGTTTCCTTGAACCGAGAAAGCAAGACACAATTAAAAGTGTGAGGCTTTTACTACTTACTCAGTACTATACTGTACATACAATCATAAAATAACTGGATACATCGACAAGGGCACATGATACGAGGTTCAACGGTCCTTAGCCAAACTTATTCCCCTAAATCATTAATTATAACAAGCGAAAGATTTTCACCTCGGTAAGTATCTTGTTCGTTGTCTTGGATAAGGATTTCTGTGTTACTTTCCACCAAAGACGACTATCCGAAGGATGGAAAAACAACATAAGTTAAAAGTAATAAAATAAATTCATTTTAGTTAAAGTTTTTTGGTGAAAACTTTACAAACTAAATTCGATCTTCTTACACTTAAGCCGGATCAGGGAAAGGTGCGGCCAGAAAAGAAGGACTAGACATGAAGAAGGCCGGAAAGGCCAGCGTTATCATTATCAGTGTGTATTTTTGGGTAATACTCACTTAGCCATTACTATTTTTAAAGGTCATGCTAACTTCCATTTGTCGTTTCAAGCTGATTGGCTATTGAAAGAGTATCTCGATGCAATGATGCGGTTAGGGGCTGTTGGTGTCGGAAGAGGGTGTGGCTTGGAATTATTACGTTATTAAGCCTCCTCTTATCATAAGCCCATCCAATACTCTTTTCCAAATTGAAAAAGCCCAGGGCTTAAAACCGGGATCTTCCAGTAAGTTCCCGGGCATAAAGAGTGAAGACTATAGCTCTTACCTCTTGCCTCACATTCCTACCTGCAAAGGTGGCCACAGTTGTTTTCGGCTTCGACAGGTGCTGAGGGATCACAGGCGGTATGGGCTTTGGCAAGGGCCTGGGTAGTGTGTATTCAAACTTGGATCCCCTTTTGCCCTGATCAAGGAAATGCCGCATTGCTTCCTCGTGAATCATTCGGTGTTTTTTATCCCAAGAGAAGATAAAGCTTTGCCTTCCATCCAGATACTCTGCACTGCACTGAGAAGCCACCTTCTTTCTCGCCCAGCGCGAGATGACAAACCGTACTTCTTCGTTTTCATCTCTGTAGTTACTGTCTCCGCCTATCACGATTAGCACGTTCTCATCTAAAAAAAAAAAAAAGGAAGGCGAACATTTTATATTCGCTCATGTAATTGGATAATTCCAAACACCGCTCACGCGCAATCAGTAGACTATCTGAGGGTAGGAAGATCCATGTTTTGTCATGCAATATTGATTACCGGAATCCCCTGAGTCCATGTTCGCGTTCACCGCGCAACACGTAGTCATCGAGTTACCTGAGCGAACGCCAGATTGCCCAGAACCGAAAGCTTTCCAAAATTATTTCTTCAAATAACGCATCACGATACCCTTGAAGAGGCGAATAGATGATAGACTTAAGCGACCTTAAAGAACTGACGCTTCAATGGCGAATCAGTGCGCCGTTCATCGGTGTGGGAGAGATTTGCGAGTCAAGACTGCACGCACTCACCTGCCTTGCTCCGATTTAAATAGGAAAACAACACCGAATAAACAACGTGCCGTAAAACCGTATAAAACGGCCATGAATTGAGCCCAGATTGCACAGAAAAAGCAACAACAGGCCCAAGTTTACGAAAGTACAATTTATTTCTATATTTATGCCCACATTTCTACGTTTTAACAGATATACTGAATTTCTCATACAAATTCTTCAAATCGTCCGTAATATGCAAAACAGTATCGAAACTCGCGGTAATTTATGCACCGAGCTTGAGCCACCTGTGCAGTCACCTGCTTTGCTTCGCTTTACGTAGGAAAACAACACCGAATAAACAACGTGCCGTAAAACCGTATAAAACTCCCATGAATTGAGCCCAGGTTACACCGAAAAGGCAACAACAGGCCCAAGTTTACGAAAGTACAATTTATTTCTATATTCATGCCTGTATTTCTACAGCTATAATGAATTTCTCATACAAATTCTTCAAATCGTTCGTAATATGCAAAACAGTATCGAAACTCGCGGTAATTTATGCACCGAGCTTGGGCCACCTGTGGTAACACCTGTACAAAATGGTAATACTGAATAAACTTGTTGTTGATTCCATTTGCCTGACAGAAGAGGGTCGGGAAAAACTCCTCGCGTTGATCATACGTGACAAAATCCGCCGCGCCTAAACTAATGAAGAAAAGTCTCCTGGAAGGCTCCATACAATTCCTTATACTAAAATTACGAGGAATTGTATGGAGCTCTCCAGGACACTTTTCTTCATTAGTTTAGAATCTGCGTGTCATATGAACTGATGCCCTTAAAATCGAAAGTGCTTCAGGAGTTTTTACGTCTTTACCTTCCTAATCGATTAACTATTTTCCATCCTGACCATATCTTATATTATAAAAAGGACTTTGAAAGCGTTTTATTAACTAATTAAGCCTTCACAGTATAGATTATTGGAATAAAAAGAAGGGGTCACGGGACTTACGGTTGAGAACGGTTTCTTCTGCAGTTGTATCAACATCTCATTCTGTGCGTGAACTATCAAAGCATCCGTCGAACAAGTTTTATATTGCCGTGTCTTACGTTTTAAACTGGATATGTATTAGTAAAATTACCAACCATGTGCGTGCGTTTTTAAAACTTATGTACCGAGTCAGTGGAAGGCAAGCTAAGTATATCACCAATCTCCAGTGTGCGTATCTAAAACTGCCTTAAACCAAATCATGCAATGGAAAGCGAGCCATTAAGAGATAGCTGAAGCCCACCTGTTTTTTTAAGCAAAGCTGGATAGACTCTCGCGAAACCAATCCCAGCGTTGTCTTCGTTGATAAAGAGACGAGATTCGTTCGCGTGGACAACAAAGACAGCGACGTCCATATCCAGTGTAGGTATAATCCTGTCGCACACCTCAGCCATTCGTTGCAGACCAAAATAAAGACGATCAACTGAGAATTTGAAGCCATATTTCTCCTCTACTTCAAGCAAAAACCTCTCTACTATTTCTAAATTGTAAGTATTGTCACAATTAAAAAGGAAAACCTTTTCTGCGGATATGACATCTTGTCGCACCAACGCTGTTCTCCACGCTTGTCTGTAGTCAATTTTTGTAATGTTTTTGTTTGGGAGTTTCCGGGAAATGGTCACTCCCCATTCTCTATATTTTAAAATTCTAACATGACTCCGAAGCCTTCTGGGCACACTTCTTTATTTGGTTTGGTTTTCTTTGTGCCCAAGTCTCTTCTGGAAATTTCGAGACTGTCAGCATTAGATCCCATATTTACACGACGTAGAAATGTTTTCTGCCTGTATATCACACTTAGATGATATTTCAAGCTGAAATGTTCCATCCTCGGAGACCCAGGGGCAGTCAGTCGGGTCGGGAGAAAAGGTGGGACGAAAGCTTTCAAATACGGGCGAAAGAGCCCCTGGGTACCGACTCTCATCGAACTATTTCCAAAAATTCAAGCTGATGCCGGCTCCTGATTGGGTACAAAAAATGCTTTGTATTATTGTGCGAAATCGGCGAACAGTTTCTCCTGAGTTCTTTTCGTGAAGGGAAGTTAGGGACTTTAGTGCTGAGGTTATGGAAAAATCTGTCGTGGGATTTCGAATTTTTTTACAATTTTCGTAAAAATGCGGTTTTAAATATATGCCGATATCTCAAAGGTTTTTATACCCACAAGAAAATAAATAACATTTTCCTAAAGTTCCATTACTATTTATTATGGATGCCAAAAATCATAGAAAGCGGTTGAATCGTTCATTCTGAAAAACGCAAATCAAAAGCATAACCAACACGCATATAAATAGGTTCGGGCCGCCTTAAGGTTAGCCTATTTGTAGTAAGCCATTCTGAACGTTTAAATAATTCTGCATCAACAGTCCTCTCTAATTATTTAGGGACCGGTCATTATTTATTGCCCGGGGGCGGAGGATTTTAAGGTGGATCACCAGGTTTTTAGGGGAACAAAAGGGGGGATCAGTCGTAACCGAGAACCCAAAAGGGGGGATCATTGAAACTTTGGAAGGATTCAAAGGGGGCACCACTTAAATTCGCTTGGAAAATGAAGACATGGGGGGGGGGACCGCGAAAGTCATCAAATGTTATTAGGGGGGATAACTTCAGTGAAGTAACATTCAAAGGGGGAATCGGCTAAATTTTACATTGTTTAGCCCCAAATCCTCCTTTCCCCCCAACCCCACCCCCCAGGCGATAAATAATGACCGGTCCCTTAGACCGATTTAAAGTCCCTATGTGCATAAAGTATACTAGTATCGTCAGTGAAAAGGTAAAACTTCCATTACGAAAAGCAGTGGACCAAGCACTGAGCCTTTATTAGAAATAAAGGACGAAAACCGACTGTTGATAACACCTCTTATACTGACCATAGCGTTCCAGCTTGTTTAAAAGTATATTATTGTTTACAGTGTCAAAAGCTTTTTTTAAGATCAATAAAAATGCCACATGAAAATAATTTGTTATCCATGATTATGTTATTTTGGATGCTGCTTATAATATCCAAAGTAGCATTATGAGTAGCGACGAGAACCACATTCAGGCAAGGGTTTAAGATGTCAAATTTACTAAAATAAGATTCAAGTCGTTTGTACATCAATTTTTCAAAGATTCTATTAAAATGGAATAGGAGGGAAATAGGTGTATAATTATTTTCATGAGTATCATCGCCCTCCTTGGAAACAGGGACCACTTTCGCAAATTTCAGTTTTCCCAAATGAATGGGAAAATTCAATATTTCTGCCAGCGGACTACTAATAACCAGTCTGGCGCATTTTAGAAGAAAAGATGGACAAGCAACCCATAACTATTATTATCTGGTAACAACATTATTTCAAATTCAATCTCAGCTGGAAGAAAAAAGGAATGATCTGACTAGTCCAGAAAATTGGGCCGTCGCGACCTCAAAAGTTTGACGCGATAGGCAGAGCCTCGTGTTGAGGGGTACCCAACGACTGTTTTCTGTGAATTATCTGCTCGGAGAAGCAAATATTGCCTAGAATTTTCTATTGCTTAAGGACGGCTAGAAGTTTCTAGATGAACGTTCCATTCAGGTACAATTTTCGAAGCGTATCCTCTACGATTTTCTGAAGTTTAATTTCTCACATTTTACTTCCCCTTTTCGGCTAATTGTCGTAGAAAAAAGAAACCTGAAATTTTCGGATTCAAAAATATGATGCGTAAAACGTTAAATTGCAGCTAAAATTTTCGGGGTGAAATAATACTGAAACCCTTGTAATTTGGAAAAGACTAAAGTTCCCCTAGTATGACCGAACAAATACAAATTTTAAAACATCGGTAAGAATGCATTTCTATGCATCTGAAAGTACTATGGATAACCTGAAAAGTGTTTTCAATGTATTTTGGGGGAAACCATCTTTGGGTGCCCCTGCGTGTTCTGCTCCTCGATCAAAAAGACAAAAGGAGGCCCTGCCTTCGTTAATGGAAAAAATGGTAACTTTAATTGTTTTACATTTAAAAGCAATCAAAAATACTGCTAAAAAAAAAGAGATGACCGAGCTACTACCTAATGTCTATTAGAAGCATCACCTGAAGCATGTCGACAAAAGAAGGAGGAGGAGGAGGAACTGTGACCTGCCTCGATTAGTTGTAGCTACCTGCAGATCAGTGACATTTCAAATTGATTGTAATAGTGTTTTATATATAATGAATAATATTGAACTTGACCTTGAACTAGAAGAAGAAGGAGGAGGACGAGCAGAAGGAAAAAAACAAGAAGAAGAAGGAGCAGCAGCAGCAGAAGAAGATCAAGAAGAAGAAGATGGAGGAGGAGGAGGAGCAGAAGAAAAAGAACAAGAACAAGAAGAGGAGCAGCAGCGGAAAAAGAAGAAGCAGAAGATGGAGGAGGAAAGGAGGGCAGAAGAAGAAGAAAAACAAGAACAGGAACAAGAAGAACAATACGAAAATGTTCCTCGTGGACAGTGAAAGGAACTCCTTTGTGAGAAGAAATGTCGATCAGACGAATTACCATCTACGTAACACGGCTACTAATTGTGAATGCGGAGGAATAGTAAGAAATGATATTTTTCCGGATATACCCTTCCACGAAATGCCCTTACTTTTCTTGTTTTGAGTAACAGGCGTCTTAACTTCTTTACCGGAAGTCTGCTAGGTGCATGACCCTGTGGCTGTAACCCAATTCGATTATAATTTCTGTCATAAATTGCGCACGACGAGATCTCAGTTCCACTTGCTTTATTTCCTCTACAACAACACTTTCCTTATGTAGCACCTTCTCCAGCAAAGGAACTAACATCAGAGTACACTCGCTTATAAAACTTGCTGAAAATGCGCAATCTCCACACCGAAGATAATTCATGTACAACATCGCAAAATAAATTATTTCATGAAAAACATAAACACGTAATACAAGTTCAACAGTCGCTATCCCAATTTTGCAATTCACTCGGATCAAAAACATCCAACTCGTCCCTAATATTAATTGGCTCATCCATTCCGCCCTACACAATTTAATACTTTGCGCTCCGCCTCAAATATTTATTGTAGCCGAAAGAACTCGGAGTGATCTCGCGAATCTTGAACTCATTTCTGTCACTAAGTCAAATACCCAAAACAAGTCGAAAGGTCACCAACTTGCGTCCCCATCTTTTCCCGTACCTCGCGCATACCTTATGGCTATTTTCACATCTCAATTTTCCTTGGGTCGCAGAGGCGCGATCAGCTAATCCCTCAACTTAGAGCGCCTCATCTGAACTGGCGGTCACACCTGACCTGGCTCAAACTCTGGGCAAGCCAGAAATAATAATCATTTCGTCTTTATTTCTTCCAGAAATAATAATTATTTCTTCCTGAGAATTATTTCTTTCCCTGAAAGAATAAATCAAACAACTCGAAGATATCTCGAACGTATTCCGAAGCAACTCCTGGGCATCCGATTGCAACTCTGAGACATTCTTGAGCGTCGTGAATCCTTTACTTCGCGCTCCGCCGAAGAAATAGGCGCGAATAGCAGTTAACTTTTGTTACTAGATATACGTTATCACAAAAATCTTGCGAGGCAGTAAAGGGTCAGCAGTGTGAATAAAAGGAAACAAACCAAAGGCGGAGAAAAAAAAGGTTCAGCGATCACATGGAAACCACTTTCCAGCGATCGCAGAGATCGCAGCGACAACGGTCGCTGGTATAGAAAAAGTTCTATCTCAGCGATCGTTGTTGCTGCGATCGCCACGATCGCTGGAAAGTGGTTTCCATATGATCGCTACAATCGCTGCGATGGCTGAACTTTTTTTTTTCCTCAGCGATCATAGAGATCATAGCGATCGTAGCGATCGTATGGAAACTAGGCTTAAGAAAGTGTAAGGTAACTTTTTTAACTAATGCATTGTTTTCGAGCGAACACGTGGTACAGCAAAAACAATAAGCTTTATTTGCATGACTATAACAAAGTATTACAGTATTGCAATAGTTACTTGAATTTAATTATTGATTCCTTTAATTTTACATTAAATATTTGAAATAATTTGAAATATATTAATCATTTTATTACTTAGCTTATTTTTAACCATCAGTAGGATTAATTATTCCGGAGACAGGTTTATCTCTCAATTCAAAGCAAGATGATATAAATGAAATTAATTGGATGTTAATAAAATACTCAGTAGAATTCATCTTATGTGATTGTTGTCGTAGAAACGGTATTTTAAGTTCTAGTTTAGAGAAGAACATCTCTCTTATCGAAAAAAAAAACTTGGACAATCCAATAAAAAGTGGGTTTCATCTTCAATTCTGTTACAATTGCAGAACAAAAAATGTGAGTCCCGTGCCCATCCCGTCTTCAACCAATCGTCGGGTGGATTCATTTGCATCATTTGCATCAAACGTGTGTCTTTAGTGTAAAATCTTTAACTTGCTCGTTGGCACTTAGCGATAGCCATAACTGGTCAGGAGACGGTAATAGCCTCCTGCACTAGTAAAATATGTATGTATAGCGGGCACGTTCTGGCAACGAGTTTCATAGTTTTGGTGCGGCAAACGAGAACGACCGACACGCAACGATCCCGGATCTTGCAAACATTGCAAACTTTAAGACTGAATTAAGAGTGACCTACTTATTTCGTGAGTATTTCAGTTAAAGTACTATAATGATGCAAATATTAGTAGTTAGTTTATAAAGATTTTAGTTTAGTATTTTTACATATTCATGTTTTTGAACACTGAATGTAAATTTCTTAACACTATTTGAATTTATAATATTCCTTTGTAAAGCAACATGAGTCCATGGATATGACGCTCAGCTTTTACTAATAAATGAACTGTTCAAAAAAAATGAACAAAAGAAATTCGAAAAAAGAAAAAGGAAGCAAAAAAAACAATCAAATACAAAACAAAACAAAAATCAAGTAGCCGGTCCCGTCGTTACATTTTACAGGTCCGCTTAAGGCAAGGCAAGGATTAACGACCAGTATAACGTACTAGGTTTTACGATGAAACAGGCCCTTGTTTTTACCAAGAGCCATTATGGCTCTTGTTTTTACTTAATTGCATAGGATTAAAAAACATGACAAAAAAATGACGGCTCTGTCTTTAACTACAGTAAATACAATAGCAAATGTGTCAATCTTGACAGTTTTGATCAAGCTTCAACTTTTTAGCTTGGCTTACAACATTCTTTTTCCTGTAAGCCAAGGTTTCTTTATTCTAGGTTTACAACCACGTGACAAGGCGGCCATGTTGGATGGCAATACAATAGAATGTTTTCTTGAAGAATTTAAATGAAAATAGAGTTTAGTTCCCAGAGGAAGAAATGCTTTTGTCCTTGTCATCCAACATGGCCGCCGTGACGTCACGTGCAAACCAGCAATTTGCAATTTTAAAGAGGTTTATTTGAAAGCGTTCGAACTCCTTAAAATGGCTGAAAACTTAGCTACACTATCAACTAACTTATCCACTACTTCCCTCTTTACCTTGCATCTTAAATTCCCTCTCTCGTCAGATATAATGAAGAGTCTGCCAGTAGAAGAATTTCTTTTTAAGTCTTCAAGAATGTTCAAAGGGACTTTCCAGCCCGGATATTGAAACTCGACGTCATCTTCACGGAAAGATACCAAACCCTTGATTACACGAGTTTTCAATCGGAGTAAGTCATTGTTCCCCATCTCTATTCCTTGGTCGCCAACGAAAACTAACAAACTATTCCCTGGCCGGCCGGAAACGATTTTTAGTTGAATCTCATCGATGTGGCTGTAGTTATCCAGATATCTTTGCTTTTTATCATCAGGGAGTCCCAAAAAGTGAGGGCTTGAAAACTCAACATCTTCCGGTGCAAATGAGATTCTACCATGACGTAGTTTGCTCTTAAACAATAATTTGCCGGCCAAAGGTCCAGGTCCATGCGCGGTATAGGTGGGAGTTTCAGCTGTAGAAAGCAAAAAGAGAAGGTACATGTCAGATGGACAAAAAAATGTGGCGAATTAGGAAACCTTCTAGTTTCCTCACTTCTTTCCCTTATCTGGAGTACTATTGATAAAGTTTAGACTGTTTGTTTTCTCCGCTCTCTTTTTTTTTCCTTTCTTCCGTCAATACCAACTTAACACATGAATGCAAGAGTGAGGAGCTAGCCTGCGTTGCAGCCGGCCCACGCACTCGTAAATATTGGTCTAGAGCGTCTGTGACGCAGGCAATCAGGAGCAAGAGTGAAGGAAGTTAACAGAGTTAAGAGAAAGTGGTGAGGATAAAGTAGGAAGAGGCGTCGGGAGGCGAAAATGAAGGTGGATGTATTGTTGTGGTTAAATTTTATCCGCGGTTTAAATCTAATTTCCCTTTGTTTTAAACTCATTATCATACATTGCTATCCCTCAAAAAAGGGTATTAAAATTTAAACCAAGAATAAAATTGAACCACAACAAACATATATTCAAAAGAAATCCATAGATGCATTGGCAAGGAAGTTTCCACCGGACGAAAACGTACTGATCTCGATATATCATCTTGTCTGGGAAAAATACAATAGAACAGCGTAAAACAACAAAAAAAGTACCCTTTTCTTGATGAGGTAATGATCCTGATGAGCTTTTGTTCTCTTCCGCTTTGGTGGGAATGGTTTCAGCCGGTGTAACTCGTCTGGCCTGCGATGGAGGGTCTGGGTTTGCTGACAGCTTATATTCAAACTTTTCACCATTTTTGCTTGGATCAAAAATATGCCTCAGAGCTTCCTCGTGAATTGGCCTGTGTTTCTTGTTCCAGGAAAATACAAAGCTTTTCCTTCCATCCAAATATTCTTCGCTGAATTGTACAGAAACAATTCTTCGGGCCCAGGGAGAGATAACTGATCGCTCTTCCTCGTCTTCACTTTTGTAGTTGTCATCTCCTCCAATGACTGTAATAAGATTACCTCCTGAGAAGCAAAAAATATATTAGAAGTAAAATTATCTCTTTTTTGAAACTGATCGCTGTATTCCGTGTTGAATTCTACAGAAGCTAAATCTTATTAACTATCGTTGAATTCTGTCATCCTAGCTCGGTTGATTGCTGATAAACTCTCCAACTTCAGCGAGAACTTGCACGTTAAGTCAAGCTTATTCCTTTCTTATCGCCGAGTTAAGTTGTTTCCTGAGAAGTTAGCCCTTTTATTAAAAAAAACGTACTATGCCCGATTTAAGCTTTTAAACTTTTCAGCACAATATTAATTTTAACATCAATAATTTTATAACAATACTAAAACCATAAACTGGTAACGTCGCGGCGTGAAGTCTTTATTAGAATAGCGCCATTACAAAGGCAGACGTTAACTGAAACAAAACATCGCACATTAAAATGCTTAAAATGGCACTACCCGACTGTGCGATCAATGAAAAATGTTGCAGTGTTGATGGAGGACGGGGGCGGCCCTCTATTTTCGTCCCCACCCTGAGGGATTTGACAGCTCAACGGTCTCCACCCCCAGGAATTTACCAAGGCAAAAAAATGCTAATACATAAATGCATGGGGGTCAGCACCCGAGGGAGGGTGAGCTGGGCGCAGCTGGAATTGACTGGTGTATTGCTCGCTTTTTCATAGAGTGCAAAGTTTACAAGGTTCTAGTTTTGCATCGCAAATAATGTTGTTTAGTATATACTAAAGCACTGGATAGTGTTTTTCGGGCGCTCTGATTGGCTACTCAATCAGTGAATATCCTGCAATATTCACTGCTTCACCTCCAGTTCCTCCGAGCGAGCGACGCCAAACTCGCGTAGGTTGCGAGCAAAATGCTTTCCCGGTTTGCTGCCGTAACAAACTAAGAAATTTCACAACTAATCAAGCAAGCTATTTCCGAAATACATGAAGAAGGTGACGAAGTTCGGTTTGGAAGTTTTAACAGGTAAAGCTTTGTCTTTTTGACTTGAATAGTTATCGATAAAACCGGTGAAAAAGTTTTTTGTTTTCAAATGCAAATCAAGCTAAAGTCTTGCGTTACTTTATTTAGTTGACTTGTTCATAAATAAGCTTAAACTAAATTTAATAATCTTTGTTACAGAATTATTTTAAATACAAACAGAATTCACAACTCCTTTTGAAGAAACTTCCCCGCAAGAGCTAAACAAACGCCTTCAAAAGTTTTATTTGTCACTAAAGAAAAAGCGACGACCGCGGCCGTTCGGTCATCGCACGCCAAAATTGTTATCGTTGGCAACAGTAAATGAGTTAAAAATCATCATTTTGTGCTCAATTATCTCACTCTTTTAGTATATACTAAAACAGTGTCGGTGGATAATTGTTATTTATATTTTTTAGTCACAAATATAATAGCCATCGTCAAGAATCCTTTAGGGAGCGCTCATTTATATTACTGAGCGTCACATTAATCGATTAATATTGACTACAAAAACATTAGTCGAAAGTTTTTGTTGGTCCTTCATACCTTTTTGCACATAGCCGGACACAAAGATCCGTGAAAGATCGGTTACAATGACATTATACTGTATGCAGGTCGCGTTTGAAATTCTTACCTGTTTTCTGCAATAGAGCTCTGTATACCTTGGTGTAACCACGGCCATCGTTTATCGACAGACGTGACTCGTGAGCGTGAACGACGAAAAAAGCAAAATCGATCTGCAGTGCGGGAATAACTTTCTCGCTCAATTCAGCCATTTCAGAAAGGGAGAAGTAGTGACACTCCACTGTGAGATCGAAGGCCAGTTTCGGTTTCAAAGAGTTGAGTAAATTCTCGATGATACTGAGCTCGTAGAGCTGATCACAGTTAAAAAGATGGATCTTTCTCTGTCTTAGCATCTTTTCTAGCTTGAGAAACTGTGGACTCAAAAAAAACAGTCAATTCAACCACAAAGAGACTGCGTCACTTTTCCAAGAAAACTGGGGGACTGTGCCGGAATGGTTTACATGTTATCGCGCATGAAAGCTTTGAGGGGGGATACTGAACTCCAGGGGAATGGGGTGGATACATATGAGTAATTTAAAGTCTCCAACAATGGAACGTTCGGTTCCATCTAAGATCAATCCGTGCAAATTGTGATTCGTAAGTCTAAAGCTGCTAACTGCCTGAAAACAGGTTTCGCTTACTTTTATTAAGAAAATTCGCGACCACAGCCGAATTCGGATATAACCGTCCCGTAAACTAGACCGGTGTGTTCGTGTGTTTACTATAATTATTCCGAGAAATATCAAGGAAATACTAGACCGTTTAAAGTGAATTTTACACCTAGCTCTACTTCGTGAAGGTAAAAATCCCTCCTGTTTCAGGTCTTGAGGTAGGACTCTCTCTACCTCTAGTATGGTTGATCACTGCAGGTTGAGCAAGAGCCAAGCATTTGAAGATCGTATTAATCAGAGATGATTTTCTCGACCCCGCCATTCCAAAGAGTACTATATTCATATATTCAGTCGAAAGCCATCCATTTCCCCCGGGAAGGGCATCGTTAAATTTCTCGTACTTCCCGACTTTGTATTTTTAATTTAATATTCTGTCAATAAGCTGACCCTCATCTTCAATAACCCCAGAAGTATATCGTCCCACGGTTTTGTTGTGAATTTGCTGTCCGGAAATGAAATACTAAAGCGACAAATTCATCAAGAAAGCCTAGGCTCTTTTGGAATTGTCCGACACAAACAATACCCTTTCTGAGAAATATTTCTTTTTCATACATTCAAACAGACTTGTTAGACAGACTTGTTAAATACATATGTCGAGTTTCTTCCGCTTTTTCGCGGAATACAGCTATATATAACTGTATATATAAGCCAAACTCGTCCCCAGTTAAATCACAAATAGCTAATGGCCTCACTTGGCCGTGGTCGGATCAGAGGGTCTTTTCGTTTTCTAATTTAGAAGGCCACCATTGATAATCGAGTGGCCCCTTACGACGAGGCTGGGATGCAAAATGAGTCAACAGGGCGAACAGAAAAGAGTAATAGAGCAAATCAGACTGTATAGCTGTGAGAATTCCTTTATTGTTTTTCCTATCCAATATATTCTTAGGCACGGCTTGACTTTGCAGACTCATTCAGAGAATGACGGACTACTGAGAAAAAAAAAAACATTCTCATGTACTCTCAGTCTTTTATTTTCAAAATTCTTTCAAGTCTACTAAACGAACAGTCAATAATCGCCAAAGGGAGGCTACCAAAGGGATCTTGTGAGCTCTATGTGTGGAAGAACAATTATACACAATTATCTGAACCCGCGTAAACCTGCACTTGGCTAAACATTCAAATTAGCGTACCTATATCAACGCATTATTAGCACACCGCAATGAAAGCAATTATTTTTCTTTGGGAGTTGTTGCCGCATTTTCCGCATAAATTACTGAGAGGTTTCTCGTGCATAACTGTTAATAGTAAATTGCTGCCCCAAATGTCGATAAGCTATATTCTCCACCGCTTCAACGCAGAGAAGATTGCTACCCAAATTAATATTTTTGCACTGCCTTTATTTATGAGTTGTGCTGTACACTTTAAGAAAATTGCTTTGGAAGTCCCACAAGGGGTAATTTTGGTGGGGCCTAACAAAACGACATAAACATTAGATTCAGCTGCGGTATGAAATTGGCAAAAGAAATCTGGCTAAGTAAAATATTTTCTAATAGGTCTCTCGCACTCTTTGATTGATTTCGACGTTTCTACCAAGTAGTTCTGGTCAGTTCGATGTCTTCATCAAGCGATGGGTTTGATTAGCTTTGAGAGATCACTGTGCTTGCTAGACTAAAATACTTTCTGTTATTTAACATTCGCCTTTCTCACTGGTCATTGCGTTTAGCCAGATGGCTGCTTGTTCTGATAGGGCATTTATAAGAAATAAATTCCGTAGGGTTCTGTGAACTAAAATGGTAGTTATAAGTTAGCAACCACTGGCAACATAGCTTTTCACAGCATTTTTTTCTATAATTGTAGCAAAGAGAGTGCAACACGGCCCTCCATTAAACGTGGAAAAAAAAAATTACAGTAATGAACATGGACCGCACGGACCCCACGGACAGCACGTCGAAGGGCGCCTGTCAACTGTATAGCTAACGCCTCCATAGCCTGTACTGACGAACGTCACTATGGTGTTTGGTGTGAATTTGTAGATTTCCATTAGTTCTGACTCCTGTTTCGCTGTAGGTCGCCAGCCTTGATGTCTTTGCGTGATGTCCTCATTTTTGTATGAAATTATTCCATGATATATGTGTGTCTGCAATAACTTGGTCCCTGCTAGATAAACAGTTGGTGCTGTTCCACTGGCAGCTGGATGTATAGCTGCAATATTGAAAGATTCACAGTTAAGTCGGACCTATTTAGTAGAGTTTGCTATTCTTTACACTGCACCNTGGAAGTCCCACAAGGGGTAATTTTGGTGGGGCCTAACAAAACGACATAAACATTAGATTCAGCTGCGGTATGAAATTGGCAAAAGAAATCTGGCTAAGTAAAATATTTTCTAATAGGTCTCTCGCACTCTGTGATTGATTTCGACGTTTCTACCAAGTAGTTCTGGTCAGTTCGATGTCTTCATCAAGCGATGGGTTTGATTAGCTTTGAGAGATCACTGTGCTTGCTAGACTAAAATACTTTCCGTTATTTAACATTCGCCTTTCTCACTGGTCATTGCATTTAGCCAGATGGCTGCTTGTTCTGATAGGGCATTTATAAGAAATAAATTCCGTAGGGTTCTGTGAACTAAAATGTTAGTTGTAAGTTAGCAACCACTGGCAACATAGCTTTTCACAGCATTTTTTTCTATAATTGTAGCAAAGAGAGTGCAACACGGCCCTCCATTAAGCGTGGAAAAAAAAAATTACAGTAATGAACATGGACCGCACGAACCGCACGGACCCCACGGACAGCACGTCGAAGGGCGCCTGTCAACTGTATAGCTAACGCCTCCATAGCCTGTACTGACGAACGTCACTATGGTGTCTGGTGTGAATTTGTAGATTTCCATTAGTTCTGACTCCTGTTTCGCTGTAGGTCGCCATCCTTGATGTCTTTGCGTGATGTCCTCATTTTTGTATGAAATTATTCCATGATATATGTGTGTCTGCAATAACGTGGTCCCTGCTGGATAAACAGCTGGTGCTGTTCCACTGGCAGCTGGACGTATAGCTGCAATATTGAAAGATTCACAGTTAAGTCGGACCTATTTAGTAGAGTTTGCTACTCTTTACACTGCACCTATCTTTAGTTGTAAAGGTACACCATAACCAGAATCTTAGCCACTAACAACGACAACACCTTCTAAAAATTCGTAATGTACAGTCTTGGTCATTCTGTTGAAACAAGGTTGGCTTAGCCCCACCATTTAACCCTTTGGAGCTGAAAAGCCACACGTAACATTTAAAAAGACACTTACGCCCAAAAGGCGTATACTGTAAGTTCAGTAAGGAGGGGTGAGTTGGGTTACTCGTTCAAAGAGAGGAGCGCTTATTTCTGTCTGAATCCACCACTGTGGGGTATACTTGTGCTATATTTAGTACTTAATCCGTCATTTTTATGTGAAATTAAGTCGTGAAGGCCATGGATCACATTGCCATCACCGTAAATGAGGAGTGCAAAGATAAATCACAAGTTTTCATTACTTTACTCTACAAAACATTTCATCTTTTTCCATCTACCATATGCATGTATCAATATGAAAAGAAAGCGATTTGTGAATTTGATCCTCCGAGACATTCAGAATCGTGGGCAATCGCGGCAAAGAAGATGGTTGCTTGTGTATTGTTTTCCTTGCCTTAGCCAAGTAGGGTTCTAAAGCCACAGTAGATATAATTTCAGGTTTCTCTTTGCCCTACACAGGGTCAGGGATTCAAACGCTTCGGAAGAGGGTAGCATAGGGTTTACGCGTGAGGCGTGATTAGGCCCAAATTTAGTGTGTGACGCGTCAAGGTTATGGAAGTCCCACAAGGGGTAATTTTGGTGGGGCCTAACAAAACGACATAAACATTAGATTCAGCTGCGGTATGAAATTGGCAAAAGAAATCTGGCTAAGTAAAATATTTTCTAATAGGTCTCTCGCACTCTTTGATTGATTTCGACGTTTCTACCAAGTAGTTCTGGTCAGTTCGATGTCTTCATCAAGCGATGGGTTTGATTAGCTTTGAGAGATCACTGTGCTTGCTAGACTAAAATACTTTCTGTTATTTAACATTCGCCTTTCTCACTGGTCATTGCGTTTAGCCAGATGGCTGCTTGTTCTGATAGGGCATTTATAAGAAATAAATTCCGTAGGGTTCTGTGAACTAAAATGGTAGTTATAAGTTAGCAACCACTGGCAACATAGCTTTTCACAGCATTTTTTTCTATAATTGTAGCAAAGAGAGTGCAACACGGCCCTCCATTAAACGTGGAAAAAAAAAATTACAGTAATGAACATGGACCGCACGGACCCCACGGACAGCACGTCGAAGGGCGCCTGTCAACTGTATAGCTAACGCCTCCATAGCCTGTACTGACGAACGTCACTATGGTGTTTGGTGTGAATTTGTAGATTTCCATTAGTTCTGACTCCTGTTTCGCTGTAGGTCGCCAGCCTTGATGTCTTTGCGTGATGTCCTCATTTTTGTATGAAATTATTCCATGATATATGTGTGTCTGCAATAACTTGGTCCCTGCTAGATAAACAGTTGGTGCTGTTCCACTGGCAGCTGGATGTATAGCTGCAATATTGAAAGATTCACAGTTAAGTCGGACCTATTTAGTAGAGTTTGCTATTCTTTACACTGCACCTATCTTTAGTTGTAAAGGTACACTATAACCAGAATCTTAGCCACTAACAACGACAACACCTTCTAAAAATTCGT